TTAGCTATTATTTGATCACAAACATTTGGCAGATGATTTATCCCCATGGCAAAAAATAATTAGACTCGGTGTTTTCACTATATCGTTACTATAAATTCACATTTTGAGAAAAATAAGTATATGTTCGGATAGCCCGTTGAATTCTCTACAACCGTGTTGTTCGCTAAAAATAAATATAAGCACAAGAAAGGCACCTTCATCCTCAGATTCCCCAGAAAGTCATTTTTTCCCGTCATTCTTTCAAATTGTTTTTTTTTGTTTTTAAAAAATTTTCATTTCTTTTTAATACAGAAACGAGTTATTAAAAGCTAAGTACATATTCTGAAAGCGCATGAAAATCTCTATCTCCCCGTATCGTAAAAATTTATGAAAACGAGAAAAAAACAATTTGAAAGAATGACGGAAAAAAATGAATTTTCGGGGAATCTGAGGATGAGGGTGCCTTTCTTGTGCTTATATTTATTTTAAGCGAACAATTGAGATTCAGAACATACTTATACAGAGTTGTAGAGAATTCCACAGACTATCCGAACACATACTTATTTTTCTCAAAATGTGAATTTATAGTAACGATATAGTGAAAATGCCGAGTCTAACTATTTTTGGCCAGGGGGTTATATGCTGTGACGCGTCTAACAAAAACCCTAACGCAAAGAACGAAACTTTCTGCTTATTTTTCTTTTCTTGGTTCAGTTTTCTTTGACCGTTCGTTATTCCTCATTGTCAAAGAAAATAGCACCAAGAAAAGTAAAATAAGCAGAACGGAAAAGATTTCGTTCTATTGCGTTAGGTTTCTTGTTAGTTGTAAAGATTAATGAATGTGTATAATCAATTATGACCAAAAAGCGGATCATGAGTGAGACAATGGGAAACGGATCGAAAACGGTCGGTTTTGGTAGCAAATTTATCACCATAATGACAGTAATTATTGAGATTAATTCAGATTTACCAAAGTTTTTTAAAAATATCATGACTCTAGCTCTATAGGGATGGTATCTTTCTAATTCAAGTACAAGGATAAACTAACTCTTATGCTAAACGCTACCAAGTTTACTAATTATAAGAAGAAAAGTTTTTTTTACTGTATTATTTCATCTATGATTAAATTAATTTAAACGAAATAAGCGACCTAAGAATATAATTATTATTGAATTCTAACAATTGCTTATTGAGATTAAATTATAACCTCTAAAACATATTTTTATCACTCTCGTCAGTTATATTAAATTTTGATATTCAAAGTAGGGTTTACTTTCTTTATCTAGTATAACTGCCGCGCTTTTCTATGATCCTCATTAAGATAATCTGTCTCGAACGGTATAATCATAACATTCCGAATGGAATGATTCTTCTGGTTAAAGTGTATCCCCACTGATGAAGTCCGTTGAACTCTGATTTGGGACGTATGGCCAAAAAAACTTTTTCGCGCTGATGCTCCTGTTTCTCCAATATGCTCCTCTCCGCAGCGCTTACACACAACATAGTAACAAACATTACGCTTGTCACAATTCAGTGTTTGATTTAGGTTTAATTTTGTGGTGGAGAGACTCGTACAGTTATCTATATAAACTACAAAAGAAACAGTATTTTCTTGAACATTTCTTGAATCCCGTACAGTGTGCATCCAGGCGGACATCAGGCGAAAATATAAAAACTGATTTATGAACGATTTAAACAATGCAACATATACTTCAAATTATGGGCTATTTAATGGCGTTAGAAGTTTTGCTACGAAGTTCAACTGTAGTGAAAAATCAGCTAATTAAAAATTAGCCTGAAAATAGCCTGATGGTCAGAAAAATTAATTCTTTACACAAAAATGACTAGTACAGTCAGCAAATGTTTTGTTAATTCTGAATCTCCGCATCATTTAGTGTATATTAGTAAAAAAAAGTTTCGGTTTGAGCTAAAGACTGTTGAGAAAAAAATAAAAGTTTTTCTTAAATGGCTAAGTTCAGCAAAATGAGAGCCCCCTTACCTGGTGTATTTTTTGTAATTGACACATCCAGATAATCGATCGTCGTGCCACCGAAACTTGCCACTTTATATTTTAAATTCGAATTTATTGTAAAAAACGAAGAGGTAACTTCCCGCACTTGTCGAATAGCCTCAGTTCACTTAACAAAACGAACAGGTTAGCATATGGTGGCGCACATGGGATTCCCATTGCCGTACCGAATTTCTGGATAGAGAAATTTTCACCAAAATGGAAGATATTATTACCTAACACTATTTTGAGTAATCCGACAAGCCCTTGACGAGAAAGAGGTATGCCGGCAGTTTCTCTATTATCGAAAACGAAATTCGACACTCTTGTTATGCCTTCGTCAATTGGAATATTAGTATATAAGGATTCGATATCTGTCATAGCGAACTAAAATTCACCTAAATCGAGCCTTCGGCTACGAATCGCCTCGTTCACTGACTCAATCTCAATAAGCAATTGTTTTGTATTATTAAGAACTCTATAGAAATCTCAGTGATTTTCTCCTTAATACCCAGGCAAACACCACCTATGAGAAAAACTAGACAGATTTCGTCTGTAATCGGGCGATACACGACTACGTAGTTACAATCTAGATGACTACTTGGAAAAGGGACTTTCAACTATATGTGTCTGCATGTGTAACCAGCAATAATTAAATTGATTGATCATCGGGCGATAAATCGATAGTTGCAACTAGAAGAACTCTAGCAATCGTCCGATTACCAGATTTCGACTATCGTTACCCAATAGTTGCAATCGAGTAAAAATCTAGTAATCTAAATGAATCGGTGCTATCGATACTAGATTCTTTTTTGATGTTTGGGTAAATTTAGAGATTTAAGCTGTCATTTCATATTCTCATCATCAACTTCTCTTGTTTACTTTGCTTGATTTAGGCAGGGAACTATAAAACCACCAACTGATTCATTGTTATTGGGTTCCTGTAAACAATTGAAGAAAACAATAGAAGTTGACAACGAAAAATATGAATTAAGTGTTCATATGTTTAAGGCAGATGCTCCTGCTAAAAGTTATGCTTGCAAGCACACACAGCACAATGGATATTTCGCATGCATAGAATGTGACTAAGGTGAAATTAGAGATAACGATCACAATCTTATGTTTTATCCTTATGATCAACCTCGGCAAAATTTACGTACAAATGATTCGTGTGATGTATGTCATCTGTTGTTTGCATGTATTTCTATGTTTCGTATTGAAACTGATTTCTTCTCTAATAATCCTTCATTTCGATCTTTTCCTTCTTCTGCTTTAGTAACTCAGTTTTTAGATAAATACAATCACTTATGTAATATAAATTGAAAAAACTTGTTTATGTTTCTTTCTCGGACATTTAGTGTAAGTGTATTTTAATTCAACTTCCTCACTTCTCTGTTATTACTGAAGTTTTCTATGATTTAGAGTCGTTCTAAGCTATTTTGTAGTTATTATTGTTTGTTTATAATTTGTGTTTTATTAAAACTTCACTAACATTTTACGAACACATTTAGTTTTCCATTAAAGAGGGACGAAGGCATTTTACTTCACTTCTATGCTTATTTAACTTACCTTGTTTCTTCAGACTCTTTGTCTTTGAAAGAAAAACGGATAGCTTAATGGTAGAGCAGAGCCGTTCTTGGCTGAGATACTCAATCAATACGAGTTCCACATTACATTAAAAACGAAGAATTTTGACAGGCAGAATAAAAAAACCGAAAAAAATGGCATTTTATCTTCACTTTCACAAGTGAATAAATGGTCGCAAAGGCACTCCTCGGCAGTCAAAATTCTGACTTTCCTGAGGATACCGCACAATCGTACGTAATATATACACTCTATCCAGCAGAAGAGAAATACCACTTCTTCCTGTACTTTTGCGAGACAGGACGGGTTGGATTTTGTTTGAGCATGCCACGACGCGTTTCGACCGGTGCTCGACGGTCTCATCAGGTGGTCTGAATTATCTTCTGTTATGAACTCGAAGATATTTCGGCTATGTCACTTTTCTGTTCTAATATGAACTCGAAAAGTAACTTCTGAGAATTGTATGATGCTATTTATATACAAATATATACATGCCGAGGTACTACTTTTTCTCATATATCAGTCATTAGACTGTCTATATTTCGAGAAAAATAGCAGTCACTGACTGACGTAATTTTTCTTTCTCTTGTACACTCGGTCTTTTGTTTTATTTTGTTCTTTGCATCATTTATTCATCAGAAAAATGACCTATATTAGATCATTTCTTCGTCCAGTCTCTGTTTCAAGAATAACGCCGGTTCTTCTATTTAACGGACGCATCTTGGTCGCAAAAAAGCGATCATATGACGAGTAAAGTACGTGCAGAATAAAAAACCGAAAAAAATGGCATTTTATCTTCACTTTCACAAGTGAATAAAAGGTCGCAAAGGCACTCCTCGGCAGTCAAAATTCTGACTTTCCTGAGGATACCGCACAATCGTACGCAATAGACATAGACAAAATGGCCTACAGCCATAACATAGACACGCCAATCAAAAGCGTACGGCAGTAAGCGTACACACTAATGCAGATACATCTACGATGTCTCCACATATTGTCCTATGTTTCACGGTACAAAAAAGCAGACGGCCGATCATAGTTAATAAATTGACCTTTGTTCATAAAACCTAGAATTTACCAGACGATACATATAAAAAATAAAGCAGACGGTAATTCGTGAAACATTTTCATTGTTCGTCTGTTTATTTCATCTCTTTGTCAGATGATTTAATTATATAGATAAAGAGATAATATGAAATATCGAGGTATCTCAGGTCTTGTATATACAAGAATTAGAATTCATTAGACAAGAGAATGAGGGACTCAAACGGACGAAATAAAATAGACTCTTTGTCTTAGAATCATTGTGCAGAGTAATACGAGGGAGTGATACTTACTATAAATAGTCATTCCCTCTCGTTTCATGCACTATTCATTAATTTGTCTTACATTCGTTCAACATTCAACAATATCTTCATTCTCTTATATCATGGCATCATCGGTCCAACAACAACAAATATTATCGGTAATTGATGTAAGTGATGACACTCGAGGCCCCCAAAGGCACTTGAGGTGTTCACCATAGACACCAAAGACCCATGCGCCCCTCTTCAAGCCGCGAAACTGTCACAAGATTCAGGTGCTGATCCAATCCTTTGGACTGGCACTGAATTTACACGGTCAACGTCGGCTGGAAACTTCCGTCTGTATAAAGACGCAAGTGGTATTTTTGGTATCTGGGTGCCGAACTCGCCGGCTTTTTACTCAGATGGTATCCCGCCAAACATATCTGCTCCGGATACTTTATCTGGACAGATGACTGGTGGGTCCCATCGGGATAGAACCGAGTCAGTTCGACACAACCGGACATACAGTCGCGGTTCTGAGTATAGATCTAATGACAGAGTCTTTACAAACTCGAGTCAGAACTATCAAAAACTCAGACCGGCTCCATACAATCGGTCAGGCGGGTATAAAATTACCACTGATTATAACAGGCAGCAACACCATTTTTCTTTCAAAGCGCCTAAACAGCCCATCCGAAATGACGAGTTGGTGAGTCTTTCACGATCGACAACCGACAGTCATTTCAGAGTAGAGGCAGCGTCATCCTCGTCGTCAAAACGCGGGAGGGAGCAGAGCTCATCAGTCGCTACCTCCCATCGACCTGTGTTTTCTTCGGTATCATCATCATCTTCTAAACGCGGACGTCTGACGAGCTTGTCAAAAGCAGTCACACCCGTGGAAGCGAGCCCAGCCCCAGTACAGTGTCGTCAAAATGAAACAGAAAGATCTGCTGATAATCTAACACCAGAACAACGACGGGCGTTGGCAAACCGGAAACGACATGACCGCCGAAATCGCATCGTAATGGCAGCACAAGCGAAGATTGTAGAGCTGCAGAAACAACTAGACGAGAAACATCAAACTGTCTCGTCAATTCCAGACGAAGACAGTAAGGATGATGATGTCTTTTTGGCCTCACACCATCAGCCAACATCATCCACACTAGTCGTCAGACTCCTCAAAACAGAGGAAAACGATGTAGAAAATTTGGCAAACGACATGGAGCGTTTAGCCTAAAATAGCCATCGGCATAAAGCCATTTTTTTATTTTTGTGTGTGTGTGTTTTTTATTTTCTCATCTTCTTTTTCTTTTTATCTTCTCATTTTTTCTTTTTTAATATGCTTTATATATGTGCTCTAGATATAAAATATTGCCTGATGAGTTTTATTTTCAAATAAAACGAAACGCGTCGCAATAAACAAACGTTTTATTTTCTATGGCACCACCAGCAATAATATAAGCAAGCATATATATATACTTATATATAAAATACAAAAAATAGTTGAAGCGGTTTTTATACAAAAAACATTCAACGGTATAGATTAAAGTTTTAAGTTGGGTTCAAGGAGTCTTAAGCCAAGGCACTTGTTCTCGTATCACTCTCTATCTCTGCTAATAGCAGTCAGAAACGCGTCTAGTAACAGTTTCTGTTTGTTATTCACCAAGTATAGAAATTCTCAGTACTTAACTGTTTCTACATTCAGCTCTATATTTCAAACATCTCACCTTTCTCTTTATCTCCGTAGGTTGCAGCTGGACAGAACATTGATTCAGTTAAGAATGATGATGAAGAAAGTGATGTTTGGAACGACTTAGAAAGAGAAATGTTTGGTAAGAGAGTAGAAAAGGATAGCCTGGTCTGCAAGAATTCCTCTTGCTTTATTATTTATTACTACTGCATGCTATATTGTGCTCCTCTTGTGATAGTTCCTCCTCGTAATCGTTCCGCTCCTCTTGTGATAGTTCCTCCTCGTAATCGTTCCGCTCCTCTTGTGAGGTTTTCTAGAATACCTAGAGACCTTCAAATTTCTTTCAGAAGTTTTTCAACCATATCATTAGATAGCCCCTTGAAGGGGCTATCTAATGATATGGTTCAACATCAACCTTTTTCTAACTTTGTTTGTATTGTCGTTTTCTAGGTCTTCAATCCTCTCATGTAACGCGATGTTCTGTTTAGAATATTCTCAAATCTCTCTCTTTCTCTCTCTCTCTCTCTCTCTCTCTCTCTCTGATAGTATATAACAAATATGTTTAACATCCTCATAATAATGTAAAGTTGTACGTGACTGACTCGAATCACTTGGATTCGAGTCAGTTTATCAAGATTCTCGAGTCCGAGTTCGAGTCACAAAAAAATGTGACTCGAGTCCGAATCGTGACTCGGACTCGCTCATCTTTGTGCGAGGGTAGAACGGCTATAACGTTTTTTCTAACAAGGCTAGAGACTTGCGGTTTTCACCATTCGGTTCAGCTTGCTGAGCTCTATAATATGAGACAGGTCTCGCCACTGACGTCAACGGTCGATGTAAATGGTGGTAGCTTTTATATGAATCGACGCTATCCGCCGATGCCGAAAACATCACTCTGCGGTAGTAATATCCGAAAACCTGAGCGTTCGCACTTGTAACTAGAAATGAATTACCAGCCATTTTGTAGAGTTTTAAAAAAGCTTTCTTTTGATATATAATATAGACCGCAACCTGGGTTCTTTCCGAATGAAAAAGCTGAAATACTATCGTTGGCTATGCTGAAAAGGTCATTTTTAACAGTAATATGGCAAAAACGTGGGTGTTCGCAGTGTATATAACAATTGAGCAATAGACAGTTTTGTTCGCCGTTTAAAGCTACATCGAATGGTATGTAAGACTTTCCTTCAGACTTGTTGTGTTCTGCGAAAATTACGAAAAACACCTCGGAATGGGCTCGCGGAGCTATTGTTCAAAGTTGATCAATTTTCTGACAGATATGAGGTCCGAAGGGGAACCAACAATGTAAAACCCCATAAAATTGTATGCTCTTTTATTCTAAATACCTTTCGAGAAGATCTGAAATGGGGCCGATCCTCGTTCTTATTGCATCCCGTCCTTTTAATGCTTATATTATACTGCAATCAAGTGTTAGCCTGGTGGAAAAGAAAGCTTATTATAAATATGTCTGACCACTTGCTATTTTGAACTTAAGGACCCTCCCCTCCCTAGAAATTGTCTCCGATACCGTACATCTGATCTTGACGAAACTTTCCGTAAATGTTAGGCACACTGAGTTACGGGAATGAAAAACTTTTTTTGTCTCCCAGTCTTACGGTTTAGGAGTTTTCCAGAGATCAAGGTCCAAAAAGGACTCCGAAGTGTTTTCCAGGGCTTTTTAATATACTTCAGGCTGGAGAGTTTGGGTTTGCTCTGTTTTAAACTAGACACCTAAGTACATGGACTGACCGGCGCTGATTTTGTTTGTGCGATGTTTGGATAATGTTTTAGTTTTCTTAATCTACTTTTGTTCTTAACTGATAGCCTTGAATAGTTTGTTTGTATGTTTATAGTCACTGCAATTCTTATAAAGAAAGAGAAACGCATCATGTAGTGTTGAATATTCGATCGATTATCAATTGATAAAAGAAATTCTGTGGGATCATGTAAAATGGCTGCTTCGGAAGATAGCTACTTTTTTTTGTAGTGGAATAATATAATAATAAAAACAACTGATAAGGTGGGTATACAAGTTACCTTCTTACCTGAGGCTGTGAGTACGAAAACATCGAGCCTCAGCTAACAATGCAATTTGTTTACTCATCTTATCAGTTATTTTTATTATTATATTACTCTACTACACCTGATTTTCGTCATATTTTTATTTTTCGCTCTTATTTACACGCATAAACACACATAATGGCCTTCGTTTGTCTTCTTGTTGTACTATTGGGTTGTTTAACAACATCAACTGCAGCATGGGGTGCCATAGGACATTCTCTTGTTGCACAAATTGCACAAACCTATTTAACAGACTCATCAGCAAAATTTGCTCGTGATCTTTTACCATGGTATACAGCAGGAAACTTGAGTATGCTCTCATCATGGCCCGATACAATTATCTATCCAGATACAAATCCTGTTGACTATTTAAATTGGCAATGGTCACCACCACTGCATTATGTGGATACACCAGACTGGCTGTGCAAATATGATCAACAACGGGATTGTCAACCGGACCAACGTTGTATCGATGGTTCAATACAAAATTATACCAGCCGTCTCGCAGATTCGAAACAAGATTTTGTGCAACGGCAAGAAGCTCTGAAGTTTTTGGTGCATTTTGTAGGTGATGCTCATCAACCTTTGCATGCTGGTTTCACAAGTGATCGTGGTGGTAATAGTATAAAAGGTATCGTTGGATGTTATTAGTGTGAAGAACGATACATTGTCATCACCTTCTTGACTTTCTTTAATCAGGGTGCGAAACAGTTTACCCTATTAGTCTGTGCTTTGGAGTACTCGCCTGAATACAAGCAGATGAGATCATCAAGACCAAAACTTTCATTTCATGAAAACGGGAGATATCATCCGACCTAAAAAGAAATGATGAAAACCAGACAAAATGTTTGTTTCTCGGTCGCAAGAGAGGTTCCTGACTGTACTCTCTAGGATCCGCTTTGTATACGACCCACTTTGTCAAGCCAACTGTGCTTATTAGCAACCTAAAACGCGATTGTCCTACTTTACATTCAAAAGACGTTACGGCGAATTTATCTTTTTAGCCTTGAAAATTCGAGATTTTAAAAGAACTAACTTTTCTACGATTTGAGAAATAGTTGGAACACAAGCCGAAAAAACGAACTTTATTCGAAACATTCAAGTTTTGGGGTTTTTTAGGCCTTTTCAGTATTTTGCATTTTTCTCGATGAAAGCTCGATCAAGTCGAAAAAATAAGGTGATATTCGGAATCAGCACGCCGAGTTCTATCAGAATATGTGTCGTGATCAGCGCAGCTGAATTGACAAAGTAGAATGGTAAAAATCTAACCCCACGTAGTACTCTCTAAAAAAGAATCCGAAAAGGCTATTTCCATGCTGAGATACCCTTTTTGAAGTCTCTGAGTAACAAATACAGATACCCTCTTTTTTAGTTCTGTGGAATTGAAAATACCCTTAACCGTATTTTACAATGCCATTTTGGTATTTCAGTGTATCCTTTTTGATTTTGTAAGATTTCTTTGAGAGTATTCCTCATTCCACAGAACCAAAAAATAGGATATCTGCATCTGCTACTCAGAGAGTCCAAAAGGGTATCCCGGTATGGAAACATCCTTTTTTAGTTCTTGCGATACGATCCTACAAAAACCTAATAAATCTCACAAGAATATACGAAAGAAATTTAATAACCAGCTTTTGACAGTCTATTTTCCTACCATATGCTATCAACTTTCGCATCTAGCTCTGGAAGAAACTATCAGCAGTATCGATTCAATCTGGTATACTGTCCATATTCTGTAACTTGTGTAAGCAATCTGCCCATCTAGAAATTACGTAGCAATAGTAGAAGGATCGTCATTGTGCAGGAGAAAGGTGACTTGGTCTTTCAGAATCCCATTTTTTTCATCAAATCCTTATTGTTTGTTCTCTTTTGGGATGTTCTCTGTACGTTTTAGGTCGTTTTTTTGGTAAATCCACCAATTTACATTCTCTTTGGGATACTGTTATGATAGAACGAAAAATCTCAACAGATTTCTTTCATGATCCGACCAAATATTTCAAGTATCTGTTGGATTTGATGCATACCAAATATGCTGCTAATATTTCAGAATGGTCAAAGTGTCCATCAGAGCAGTCGCAATATTTAGCTTGTTCGGCTTTATGGGTTCAAGAAGATAGCGATTTAAATTGTGCTCTGGTCTATAGAGACGCAGATCAAAAACCTTTGAATATGTCATATGAATTCGATTTAGGTGAAGATTATTACCAAACACGAATGGTTATTCTGGAACAACGGTTGATACAAGGTGGTTTGAGATTAGGTCTGATGTTAAACCTTATAGCTGATTATACGCGTAATCCAAACCCAGATGAGAAACAAGAAAAACAACGGGGGCATTTTGCTCTACCGTTCTTTCGAAAAAACAATGAGAAACCACATCAACCTCAGGCATCAATAATACCCGAAAAGCCATGAACGTATTGAAAAATTACATAAATGACTCTGATCAGCTGTTTTGTTTAAATAAATTTATTTAATTTCTCTCTGTTGCTGTGCAAGGACTTTTCTGTATCGAAATGGGGGAAAATAAAGTTCGAGTTTTGTTTTCGATGTATCTCTTTCACCATTGATGCTAAAGAACCAGATCAAACGCCATTCGAAAGAGCAGATATTTTTGAACATCACTATATATAAAAATTATTAATACACAAGGCTGCTCAACTTTGATAAAAAAAACATCTTTTTGTTGTCTTAAAGTGTTGTGCTTCTGGCTCATAAAAATCGAAGTTATTTCTGATCCTATTTTTGTTCCGGTCAGGGATGTAGGCTTCAAAATGCAAAGGATTAGCCATCTGATAGTGATGTGAATTCCACTACACAGACTCATTGATTGGAGCTAACATACCAGTAGAAGAAAATTCTTTTTATTAACTGGGATCAATATTGAAAACTGAATTTGTTGAAGAATACTTCATGCATTCTTTTCTATTAAGATTCGCGATTTTCTAGTTAAAGATGTTGCAATATATAGTTAAGTGTCCTCTATAAGA